TTTCCTGTTAGAAATAATTGAGGGGTTGTATCCTGTTGCCCTTTTAAATGCATACTAATGTTTGTTTCTATTTTAGATATAAAAATAGGAAACATGGAGATCAACAATCAACGGCTACTAAGAGTGAAAAGCACTAAGTAACTTTAAATCTTGCAGTTAACTACAACTTGCATTATTTGATGATTTGAGGATTCCTTCTTCTACAAGGAGTTTTAAAAAACTTTGTGAAGTTTCAGTGTAGATGAGGGGTGCTCATCTGGCCAGTGAAGCGGTCATCCAGACCTTTGGGCTCCTAGCAGGTCTGAAAATTTGGCAGCAAGGGAGCTAATATTTAATTAGGAGTCCTGTTCCAGACCCCTGGAGGACTCCCATATGCTGCATAACCTGGCCCCTTGTGCTATATTGCAGGGCTGGCCTGGCATGGAGGGTTTGCAATGCCTGATCCTACAGACCAACCGCACACCACTCATTCAGCCCATAGGCCAAAAGGTTGTGCACCACTGATTTAGATGACAGAACAGATTATTTTTCTTTTGTATCACCCTTCAGGAGTTTAGTTAATTTTATTTTTAAGACCATGGTAAATTCAGTTAAATTCGTGGCTAAATTGTGCAAATTAAGCATAATAGATGCAAATTTGAAAGAAAACCAGGTTTCCACTCAGCTAAAACATTGGATTTAGTATCTTGGACCGTGATACTCCCTTCTTGTTACCCCATTTCTCTAGAACCCTTTTTAAAAAAAGGGAGAGATCTTGGAATGTTAAGTCCAGAATGCCTGCAAGTTAGTAGGAAAATGAGCTTAAGTTACATCTAGTAGTTCACTTGCCACTATAATTCCATAAAGGCAAAATCATTATGTAGGTGAGTGAATAATTCTGACATTGAAATTAAATTTACAATACATTCAAGTATAGCTACAAAAGTAGTAGCTATTTGGAGATCACTACACTACATACTTATGTGCTTTTTTCACTGCTTTTTTGTTTTTGTTTTTTTTTATTTGAGCTGGGGTAAATATTCAGTACTTCAAATAGTAAGGCTTAGGAACAAAGATAAATCAATTATATCCTCGTGCACTGGATGATGATGTAAGCACAACTATGACTGTTGATGCTCTAGCAAAGTGACTTGTTGTTTCCACCTTTGAAACATTTAATCAAGCTGGTGAATGTGTATTGCTTTTTGCTGTGAAACTAATTCTGTGATCTGCCTTCATAATTAAGGCTGCTACTATATCAACAAAGAATTTGAAAGAAACATACTACAGGCTTTTCCTATTGAATTTTAATGTTGGTTCCAGCTTTCAGCTGCAAGGGCTGATCCACTAATATTAAATAAGGACCTGGATTTTTGTATTTGATGCACACTTACCTTTATTCTCAAAACAAACAAACGAGCAAAAAAAAAATACCTGACCCTGATATCCTAAAGGGTATATTTATGGATTAAAAAGTAACCCTTGCCACTTTTGCCAGGTACATAAGAGAAAGATATCAAGAGCAGTGATGGGAGGGCACCCTTAACACAGCTTCATTGCCCAGCTACCAGGTTAGGTAGCCAGGTATGCTTCTCTGGCACTCCGGGAGTATGATGACAAATATAACTTTCGATCAGATTACTAAAGGCAGCAAAAGATTTTGTTCCTGATGAGCCAGGCCTCAAAGGAGGTAGCAGCAAGCATGGCTTATGGGCTGTAATTCCAGGAGTCAGCTATGTGAAACTCCAGAGTTTGCTAAAGCACTGTCTAGCAGCCTGCCTTAGGTAGACTGCGGTCGGTGTTCTCTAACCATATCAAACTCTTCTGTAAACTAGCTGACCCTGCATGCTAGGGAAACTTCTGAATGGAAAGATCTGACTTGCCTACCTGTTTAAACTACCACGTTAGTATGGATAGGCCAGACCATCACTGGGGCCTATGCCTTAACACTTGGCTAATCTCACCTCTTGTGCAAGTCTTCTAATACAGTGGGGGCCACCCTTCCTGGCAGGTGTGCCACAGGTAAGCTCCACATGCTCCCTGAGTGCCGCTTCGATTTCCAGTCAGTCTGCTGCGCTGTGCTCTATGTTCCCTGCTTGACTTGTTGCTTTGTTTTCTTCTCTCTGCCCTGCGCTTCCTGATCTGTTCTTTTGCTTTATGGTCTCGGCCCTATCTGTTACTGTGTTCCCTGGTCCCTCTCTGATCTGCTGCATACCACACACAGACTGCCCGTGCCACCAGACATGAATGCCACAGGTTGGCCATCCCTGCCCTAATGCAACAAGGAAGTACAGAGGGAGCTACTCACTAAGTTTTCCCAGGGATTTGTATGAGGTCTCATTTCGCGTTGTTTCCTACAATTGTAAATAAAAATAAAAAGGAGAGGGGGAGTACTGGCAAGTTTTCCATCCCCCAGCACCATTTATGTCTAGGTCCTGAAGAATGTATGGAACAGGATTGAGGAATCGTTGATATTCTGACACTGGTAAATGTTCTGAAATTAATGAGCACTACGATAAATTAATTTTAGCAACTTTCAGTATTCCTGTTTAAATATTTTAACAAAGCTCATTAAAGAGCCAAGGCTATGTTCTTTCATATTCTTTTGTGTGCATATTCTTTGGAATGAGCTCAGTTCTCCGTTCCTTGAAATAAATTGGACTATACTCACCTATACAACAACTGTGTTTTTAAGGTATGGAGATGATGCTGGCCATGCTACAGATAACGCTGTGAATTCTGCAATCAACGTAGGAGTGACAGCATTTAACATTGACAACATTGGCATCAAGGCTATGGTGAAGAAAACTGCAAAGGAGACTGGCCATGCTGTGCTGGATGAATATAAAGTACTGGAAAAGGAAAATAAGGAAAAAAAGGATGCAATATGAAAGCACTGAATTAATTCTTAAAGCCTTACAGTATAGAGTTAACTTACTTAAATGAAAATATTGCTAACATGTAATTTAACATAAATTATCTTGTATTTTTCTAACTGTTATTGGAACCTGCACTTGAGATGTAGTACTTTTCTCTTTCTTTAGCCTTTCCTGCAGTGATGTGGCAGTCTAACCACTAGAAGACTATGTATTTGCAGTGAATTGTGCTATCTTTAAAAAGAAATTTCCAGATGCACTTTTTTCCAAAATATTAAAATGCAGCACTAAGATAAATAATATAATCTTAATTTATTCTGAGTATTTTTGTAAATTCATATTTGCAGAGATGGCACTGAGTAAAGCTATTAGAGTTTATCATTCTATTTTTCATTATAGTTTTAATTAATTTCAGCAAGCCAGAAAGGGCATAAGATCAACAATTATATGATTATTAGCAGGACAAAAGACCGTTCTCTAGAACCCAAGGAATGGAATCTAGAGCTAATTTCAGCAGTGCATATATTTTATATAAGACCAAAACTCAAGGAAATGTAAGATGAGCCTCAGGTAACTGTAGCCACCCCTTTTTGAATTAAAAGCTTTTCAGATTTACAAACCAAAGACTTCACCACACTGTTTTAAAGTTAAAAGTCACCTTTGAAAGAGAGACACTTGAAAACCGGAAAATAGTCAATAGAAGGAATATTAATCATTTTGTGAAAGCTGAATTTGTTTCCTTTTCAACCAGGCTATATTTCCTCTGATCATTAGGCTGTAGGCTCCAGCTAGAAAACTGTTCTGAATAAAGGCTTTCATTGACCTTTTACAGGCTCTGCTTTACAATTAAGCTACTATAATGGCAGTCTCTTCAGAGGGATCTGTAATAGTGTAACAATGGATAGTGTTGCCCTCTAATGGAATGTAAATGAATTTCATGTAAATTGTTTAGTGCTAGATACTGAAGCAAATACTGAAGGGCAGTATCCTTACTAACAGGGAACTTTCAGTCTTGTTAAGAGTACAGGGTTGGGACATGACCACACAATTTAAGCACTGGAGTGGGGAAAGAAACCCAAGAAAAGTAACTTGTTTTATTTTGCTTGGTTTCTAATGGGAGAAGAAATTGACATTTCTTGTACAGTTTGTTGTGTGGCAACTCCATAGATAGAGTTTTGTGAACAATTGTGAGAGAGATTATGCACAGCTGCTGGCTTAAAAGTTGTGTGGTGGGTTTCACAACCCTGATATGCTCTAACCTTGACTGAGCCTGTACAGCGAACAAAAGTGCAGTGTTTATAATCAGTCTACATTCCATACTAATGGGAGCTGCTACTTTTATACATAACCGGCTGTTAAGTGATACATACTGATCAGACTTCAACATGCACAGCTATTTAAAAAAATAATATATATACAGGAGGAAGAAGTGGAGCATTTTTGTGTGGCTGTTGCATGCATGTACCTGGTGGTGATGAGAAGCCAAGGACAAAGGAGTAACAACACGAAGTGCAATTTATGGAGTGTCATATTGAATTGAAATGATAAATAAAATTGGTCAGATACCTGTGTGTTTGGCTTGATTTATGATTCAGAGCTAGAGACAAGTTTTCAGTTGGGAGTAAAAGAGAACAAGTGGGAAGTTTCCTGTGACAGACTAGATTGCGATCTTCAGTCGTGTCCCCAGGAACCCTGGCTTGTACAACATCCGTTCAGCAAGCTTTTTTTCCCTGACATTTTTATACTAGAGAAAGCTGGGGAGTGGATGCGGTTAGGGTGCCGCAGAAAGTATGAAACCAGGTTCCTTGGGAAGATGTGACATCTTTTATTTGACCGACTAAGGCTCTGCAAAGACTGTTCTGGGCACGAATGCCTTTCTTCAGGCAGAGGGCGAGTGGCCAGGGGAGCACCGGCCCGGCCGCTTCTGCAGCTCGTGCCTCGGGGAGACTCTCCTCACCGCAGCGTCTGCACGGGAACGTCCCGCGGAAGCTGCTCGGACCTTGTTTCCTTGCTTACAGCGCACTCCGCTGTGATTGTCCCCAGCAGCTGATTCTTGTGGGGGCGGGGGTAACCGCGTGTGTATGCGAGCAAATACTGTAGAGGGCGATTGGCCCCGCCCCCGCCGTTTGAATCTAACCGGGTGGAACCTGCCGGAGCTCTCACGTGGCTCGCCGGCCTGCCGCGCTGGAGGGCAGTCACGTGACTCGACACCTGCTGTTGCTGGTGGCGCGGCGCGTCACGTGAGCGCCACTCCGGGCGACGGCGTTCGCGTCTCCAAGGGCGACGGCCGGCGGGCGGGGCCATGGGGGAGGCCAGCGGCGCGCGCGACCCCGAGCAGCTGCGGCTGGAGCTGGGGCAGGAGGAGCGGATGACGTAAGTGGCGGGGCGGAGCCTCAAGCTGAGGGCCCTGGGGGCTGGGTCAGGCTGAGCCAGAGCTGGGGGGCAGGAGGGGGAGGCACCTGGCTGGGCTTGGAGCTGGGAGCAGGTGAGGAGGCCAGGACAGGCGCTGGGAGCCAGGGAGGGGCAGAGCCAATGGGGCTGGGGGTGGTGCTGGGGGGAGCAGAGTGGCGCCGCCCTGCTGGGCGCAAAGGAAAGGGGCAGGGAGCATCACTGCCTGGCGGACATGACCCCCTCCAGCAACACCCCAGCATCCTCCTTCCTCTAAGGCCACTGGCTGGGGACCCTCCTGTGAAGCGTGCTCGCTCCCAGGGGGTGCATCCTGCCACTTGTGTCAGCAACTCAGCAGAGGCCCTTGTGTGCCATCTCACGGTTGTAACCTGCTGCCAACCCGCATGGAGGTCACTGTTCAGGTCCAAGATAGACTCACTGGGTTTTCAGTTTGCCCAAAGGAAAGGGATAAATAAAACCTTCCTCCACCCCCGAAAAACGTTTAAGAACTAAGAACATGAGAAGCTGTATTTAAAAAAATCATTGCTGGACTCTGGAAGCCAAGCATTTAGGAGTCAGGAAATGCCCAAAACGTCGGTGCAATGTGAATGCGCCTCCTGTGTGCTGGTGCGTTACACTACAGTCTTTTGATTACATGAGCATGTACTGTTTTTTTCTGTAGGGCCTTTGTTGCATTCAGCATTTGGGTTGAAGGTGAATCGGAGATGGTTGGTAAAAGAGAGCAGCATATGTGGGACCCCCATTTAATTTGTTGCAGAAATTGGAAAATGTGCAGTGACAGAGATAGGATGGTCTCCTGGTTAAGCCTGATTTAGTGTGTGCCATCCTTTCTGTGCACTGAGACAGGGGTCCTGGGGGAAAGAGTAGTGAGAAGCATGTGATCGTGTAATTAAAGCCTTTATTGTAAAGCATACATACCAGGGAGCCAAGTTAGGATGTCAGATATTACTGACATTTCCTAACTTGCATGTTTGACTTTGGAATTTTAGGACTGTTCTTTTAATGTAGTTGAGTGTCTGTGGGAATGTATGTGCATGGCCACAGTATACTCACATATTGCATACACACGCACCTCTTCAAAACACCAGCTGTGTGAATCTGAAGTGTGCATTATCTGCGACAAATACAGTAAGAGCAATTTGCCGCTTGCTGAGCAAAAGGAAAAGTAAAATCTGTGATCTAAAGCAGGGTTCTCAACCTTTTTCATTCAGGGACCCATTTGCCAAGGTCGATGGCTTGTCCGAACCCGCAACCCCCTGGCCCTGCCAGTGCCCAACCCACAGTCCCCTGCCAATGTCCCTCACCCCCAAGCCACAGCCCCCTGATTTTTCGGCCATGTTGGTTTCCTTCATTCCTGATCCGTAGTCCCCTGCCCCCCTGCCCCCCAGTTCTGCTGGGGGGGGGGCCCAGCTGCCTCTGTCTTGCTTGGGCCAGAGCACAAGCAGCGAGTGCAGGCCCCTGTGTACATGGGCACTGGCCCCGTGCTACTGGCCCAGGCACGCAACTCCCTGCTGTGAAGGAGCTCCCCTGCCTTCTTCCCCTGCTGAAGGTCCAGGCATCTACTCCCCGCACCCTCCCAACTTCCCCTGCCCTGCCACAGCTCTATGCCTGGCCACAGTCCCCAGCACCTGTGCATGCACACACACACACGTCCCCCCAGCCCTCTAGACAGTCCCCTGGACTTCCATCCCCCACTCCCCATACACTTCCCTACGTCCAGTGGCTGGAGCTGCTCCCACATCCTGGCCTTGCTGTATGCTGGCCATGTGCACTTGCACGCTGATGCACTTGTGCCTACTACCACCAGACATCTCAAGTAGTGCTTGCAGGCTGGAACACTTTCAGCCTGCAAGGGGAAACCCATGCTTTTGCAGGTTTTTCTGGGACTTCCTCGCCACCTGTTCACATATTCTTGTGACCCATGTTTGGGTCGTGACTCACCAGTTGAGAAACACTGATCCAAAGAGAGCATAGCAGTGAGCAGGTTCAGCTCCCTAGCTACTGCTACTCAGTTACTATGAGGAAAGATCTTTTTTTTTCATTCTGCCCTTTAAAATTCAGGCATGTATCTTATTTTGGGGCATATTGTATATAAGTAAATACAGTAGTGTGTCTAATGTTATATTTATATATGTATAATATATAATGTGTATATATTATATACACATTAGTTTTGTAGGATGGAATGACAGTGGAACGCTGTGGTGTGGCACATAATTAGGAACGTACCAAATTTATGATTTCGCAGATTCCAGGAAATCCGGACAATGCCCACGAAATCCACGGAAAAAACCCTCAAATTTATCGAGTGCTGCAGCAGCTTGGTAGCAGGGGTGGGCTGCCTGCTCTAAGGACTGCCAGCAAGGCGGCTGCCACCCCTGCCTGCTGCGAGGGCTGCCTGTCATGTGACCCCATCCGTCTCCACCAATTGGCGACAAGAGGCAGGGCTGCATGATAGGCAGCCCTTGCAATCAGTCAGTGGTGAGGGGTGGAACCACATGACAGGCAGCCCCCACAGCCAATCAGTGCCAAGGGGCAGGGCCACCAGGACCCTTCGGCCAATCAAGGGGGGCACACTCCGCCCATGACATGGCTGCCTGGGTCTGAGTTCTTTCTGCAAAATCAGGGAGCAGCCCCCGCAAATTAGGTAGGTCTCTATAAATAATGTTTCTCTTTGTGGCCTATAGAAGACACATTATTCCTGCCGTCCCTGCACCGTCTCGGTTGGAGCATGGAACTTCTGATTTAGAAGTAACTTGCCAAATTTGACCTCTTCTCATTGTAGAACCCAGTTGGCTTTGGTAGCTTTCTCTGAGGTCCAAGGGGCACAGCTCATGCTGGAAACTACTCTTTGAGTGGCCATGAATTCTTCCATCTTGCTTACCCCTGCACAATCATACTTCTGCACTATGTCCAAGATGAAGATAACTAGAACCTGCTTTGTTTTGTGCTAATGAGCTGTGGCCATCCAGCTCCTGGCAAGTTGCTTTTAAGTCATTCCATTTGGTTGAGCAAAGTTGGGGGAAGTATTAGCACGTATACTAAACAGAAGTGCAGGTCAGAATGGGATAGGCTACTGAGTTATATTGGATGCTAGTTTTAATTAAAAACATGATTTTCAGAGGCACAGAGAATGAACAGTGACATTGTGCTTAGCACCTCTCAAAATCTGGTCTGTAGAATACAATCCTCCCCCTGCACCCCAGTCTTTCAGTGTTATCCAGAATTAAAATTAGAGAGAGGAAGGAAAAAGAGATCCACTGACGTAGAATTACAGGGCTACTTTTACCTCTGTGTGTGGTTCTAAATAAGAAAGGAGGTGCAAAGGCAGTTATCTTTCACAGTTTGTTTATTCCAGTAAAGCTTTGTTGCTATGTAATGTATTTGTTACCTAGCATTTCATTTATTTACAGCAGTGCCCCATATACTGCTCCAACTTCACTGAAGTTTTATCTTTCAAAGAACTGGGCATCAGCTTAGAAAACTGACACTCTGGTTTGCTAATTTGGATGGAATGAGCACTCCCAGAGTCAAAGGTGTTTACATGACCCTGTTACCTTATGCTAAATAGGTAAGCATCATTTATGGTTTTGAGTAGACTTCAGTCTACTTAGTCCCATGAGAGACATGTTAGAAAAGTTGTACCAAGGCATGGGATTGTATCATTGGGATATGTGTGAGACAGAATAAAAAATACATATACAACATTGCGAAATTTGATTAGGTTGGTTATGCAAAACATAATCAAAATTGATCAAAATCCCTTTGTCAAAGAGAGGATAGAGAGAAGAGCTAAAGTCTCTCATTTTGTCAAATAAATCCTTCTTAGAGGAGAGGAAAGGATTAAGAAGGATTAGTCCTCTTGTTGAATTTCAAGTGGACTGCTGTGCATGGTAGTTACCGTTTCTGTGTCTGACAAAACAGAGAGATCCAAGGGCAAGAAGTGATAGGATAGTAAAGGGGCAGGGGGTACAAAGACTATGTCCACACTTCGCTTTTGTACTATATATGCCCTTGTAGCACTACAAAAAATATTTGTCTATGTGTTCAGGCTGTTTATAGCACCTTTTGTAGTGCCACACATAAAGTGTAGACAGCTACCTTAGTGCTACTCGGGATTTCTCAGTTCTTCAGCATTCCCAAGTGCTCTGCTTTCCCCACACACACCCAAAGGGGAGGGAGTGAGAGCAACTGGATCCCTAACAACCTGTGGGGAGCAGAGCTGCATCTCTGCTTGCTGCAGGGGCTGTCACAGGTCTCTGCTGCCTTGCTCCTTAGTGATGGTGGCAACAGCTAATCAAGTAGGCAAGGCAGCCCAAGCAGCTGTTGCTGCCCAGATTAGCTGTTGCTGCCCTATTGCTAGAAAGTGTGCCTTTGGTGGCACTTTGCAGCACTCCAGCCAGTTTTCTGAATGTATGTACACTGTAGCACTCTATTTTTGTAGTGCTTCAAAATGCTGATGCAGCAAAAGGTGCTTTGTAGTGCTGCACAACAATGTATGCATACAGCTGAAGTATGGCTTTTGTAGATGCTCTCAGCAAGGCTCTTTGTTGTCAGTCACGGGTGGATGCTCTGGGCTGGGAATTTGGCCATGAAAGCTTTTGCTCTGGACCCTGCTGTATTTCTCGCTGTTGTAATACCATTTAGCTTGTCTGGTCCAGTCTTTCTCAAGCCAGGGTGAGGTAGATGGTCCATTCCTACTAGTTCTATATGATGCAGATATATTTGGTCAGAAAATTATTGGTCAAAAGACTTTGCTTGCAAATCCCATTAAGGCTTACCAGCAAATGATTGTTTGGAGAGAAGCTGAGGTCTGTTGGCTTTACCCAGGGTAGGTACTTGAGATAGTTAGGCCATTTTAGACCCCATAGCTTCTTTTTTTAAAGCTCTTGGGAGGGGTAAAAGAGGGGAAAGTGGAACCTGAAACCAAAAAAGGAACATTGGAACATCAGAAATTAGATCTCATTGTTTCATTTACCTACCAGGTCTAATTTCTGAGTCTAATCCATCAGTCCATTGATTTTCTATTCTTCCCATCTATACCAGGCATGACCTTTAACGCAGGTTGTGTCTGGTACCAGTAGACCTTCTTATTTGAACCAAGACAGGCAGTCTCCTTTTCATGCTGTAATTAACATTCATTGTCTATTTTAATGTATAATGCACTTTACCTGCTCTCTGACAACAACATTCACAGTTAGAATATGCATGCTATTCCCCAGGTTTTTTGTTCTTTTGCTGACCAATGGAAGATACTGTATGTACATTTAACTTTATTAATGATGTGATATGACATGGTTAACTATAAATCTTGTATTACCAACTGGAATCTTAAACAATGATTTCCCTTTCTTATAGGCTATTCCACATCATACGTGTATGGCTTACCATTGCTGTACATACTGTTCACTTAGGAATTGATCCAAAGCCCACTGAAATCAATGGGAGTTGCTCCACAAACTTAATTTAATGGGCTTTGGATCAGGCCCAATAGACCAGACATTGACTGCCTCTTACACTGATGAACCATGACTTCTACTTGTATGAGTCTACCAAAGAGACTTCTCTAAGCAAGGGATTTACAGTCTCAAGTTGGTTGGTTGTTGATATATTACCATGAAATATCTAAACAAATTCAAAGAAGTTAAAGAAGAATTTAACTTGTTATGTTAACAGTTATGTTACTGTAGACAAAAGTCAGCAAAATGATTATTTGGCAAATATCATGTGAAATGTTTTTGAGAGGGAGGGAAGTTTAGTGTGTATAATGGTATACAACTAAGAATGCTTAAAAGTCACGTTTATACTTGTCTAATGTCTAGTAAGAATAAGTGTCTAGTAAGACTTGTTATGGTTTTAGTGACAGTTATTGTGCCCACACTCAGGGCAAGGAGTTGTAGGGCTGCCACTAAAGATCAGAAACAAGTAACAACAAAAAATAGCACCTGTAAAAAAAAAAAGAAAGAAAAGAAAAGAAAATCTTAAACCAGAAACCCAGCCAGTTTTCATCTTTTCATGCTTCAGCCAGCACTTGGTTATCTGAGTATTTTTTTTGCATAGAGGCTGTGATTCAGGAAAGCTTTTCTGTTCAGGACATCACTACAGATATGGTTATTTTCCACTGAAATCCATGAGATTTAAGCACACGTTTAAGTGTTCCCACTGTAAGGGTTGTAAATTGTCTTCTGATGTGGGGAAGTTTCAAAACCTTAAATGCTTTGAGATTAAGATCATCTCAAAGCACACCACAACCCCTCCAAGTAAAAACCAAGACACTGATCCTACAAGCTGTTCTGCATGGTCAGGCACCTGTACAGCACTGAGCTCAGATTTTCTCTCCTCCAGAGCAGGGACTGTGGTTTGCAGATATTCATACAGCTGTGATAGTCATACATAATGAGAGCCCAACATGGCTGTTGGATGTAGATACTACAGCAGTGGAAATGTTTAATAACAATGTGATTTTTGTTTTTCAAAATTGCTGTCAATTTCAGCTGACAAGTGAGATGGAAGATTTTTTGCCTAGCTACCAGTGTAGCAAATTCAGCCTTAACACCCAATGTCACCTGTTTTTTCTGTGCATATTCTCATCAAGAGTAAATGTAACTGGGACTTGGCTAGCATTTTTGCTAATGATGCAGAAGGAAGAACGTGATCTTATTTGATCTTTAGGAGCTACTGTATATGATTTTTTAATATTAACAGGGATAAAAATTACTTTGGTTGCAAGCTGCAAGCACATCTGTTCTAGTTATAGTTATCATTCTCCTACTGATATGAATGCTAAAGTTGGGATTTGTCATAGAAGGGAAACTAGACTTTGTATGGCTTTACCAGTTCAGCTCTCGTTCTAACTAATTTCAACTGGAGCTTTTGCTATACAAGTTTTGGAGTATGGAGGGGGTTTTTTATTCTACCTTCCTGAAAGCTCATCTAAATACTCATGTGACCGTCAGAATGTCCTCCTCAAACTGGTCACAAAAACAAACACTGTAAATCCTTAGTCAGTAGCAGGACAAAATAGCACGCTCATGTTGTGGTACCCAGTTTTGTGCTTGCAGTTGTATTGTTTTAGATTATGATCTCAATTCTTGTAAAACAAAGCAGGTCAGACTTCCCCATCAGATCAAAGGAAATCTCCAGGGAAAATCAGGCGGCTGTCGTAAGCATGGATGGTTATTTACTAGTTAGTTCATGATGCCAGAAAGCAATGGTAAGCATTCCAGCTAATTCCCAACTCCCATCTTCTTGCATTTCTGTCAGAGTGCCGCCTTTAAACCATGTTTTTATACCTTTTGTATATGCTTATTGATCAGTAGTTATCTTGCATATAATGTTCCCCATCTACAATGCTCATGACTTCTACAGACAAGATTTCTTTTCTTCCATCCCACTTCACAGCATTGTGACTGTTGGACTTTTTTGTGGAGAGGGAGGGAATGTATATTGCCCTCTCCAGTCTGTTACTGCTCTCCATCCTTCTGGTCACCTACAAGGGCAGAGGGTTCTGCTAGGCCAGGCTTGTCCAAAATACGGCCCACGAGCCACCATGCGGCCTGTCAAGCAATTTTCTGTGGCCCGCGGTGCTGCGACAGGAAACAAAAGTAACACTGTTTACTTTCATTCCCACTCCTTGTCCCTCCCCCAGCCCCTCAGCGGCTTCCTAATGGCTGCTGAAGGGCTGGGGAAGGGACAGGGTTCCCACAGGCACCACGTCAGCTTGATTTTGCCAACGTGGTGTGGCTCCTCCCCTCCCCCCTCATTTCACAGTGTCCCTTCCTCGCCCCACCCCTCCCTTCCTCATTTGCATGCCAGCTCCTCCCCTCTCCCACATTGCAGGGTTTCTGTTCCTGGCCCCGCCCCTTGCTTTCTCATTTGCATAACGGCCCCGCCCTGCGCCGGTCCCCGCCGGCCACATGGGCTGAAGCAGG